CATCGTGTGCCGCTGGCTTAAGTTCTGACTATGGCTGGTATTCATAGTCGGTTCTTATTTTAAGACCGTCTTAAGGCCCGTCTACAATACACGGAGTAAGAAGTAAGTGTAAGAAATTGACCAATCACAGTCGATTATTCTTCTCACATTCGACTGTGATTGGTCAATTTCTTACACTTACTTCTTACTCCGTGTATTGTAGACAGGCCTTTAAGTAATGTCTTAAGTCGCTAATGCGGCCTTCTGATTGGTTCATGACATCTTAAGACTGTACTTAAGACGGTCTTAAATATAAGATCCGACTATGAATACCGGCCTATGAATACCGGCTTTACTGCCGAGTCCTATTTATATAGTCAATGGCCTTACCTGTCTTTTTCTATCAAGAAAGAATCCTTACAGCTTCACTTCGAGTATTTTATTAGATCTATGATTGTTGATGATTGATGCTTACACGAAGCTTGTCGGATCTGGCCGTATTGACACTATTGACTCTGTGATACGGTGGTAGGAGTTGGGGCCATTCACTAGCAAAGAGGAAGAAGAAACTTCTAGTCGGTATATTGTTGACCCAAGTTTTTCTCTTTAACTAATCATAAAGATTAGGTCATTTTTTTTAGTGGACAGAGGAAGGAATGGTTGGTATAGCACAGTTTTTTGTGTAACTTATTGTTGAAAAAACTTATTGTTGAAAAAAGTTTTTTGTGTAACTTATTGTTGCAAAATTTCTGATTAGGGACACGTGCAACACATGCTTGTTTAAGAAAAAATAATTTGGAATAGTTTTTGCACATTATCCTGCGGATTCTGGGAATCCTGGGAATCCTGCTTGTCCCATGTATTGGTTAGAAACGCTGCTGTATTTATTATGAAAAACAAAGCTTAGTATTTTGTAACATCAGGTGAGAATTATTTATTTATTAGATAATAAGATAAAAAGAGGCTCTATTTCTAAGTGAAAATTTCTCTTATAATTTTTATACAAATTGGAACATTTTTCTGAAAATCTATATCTTTTCTCAGAATTTTCCAATAAAAAATGTGAAAGCTATAAAATTATAATTAGAAATTCTGAAAAATTATATAGAAATTCTGAAACATTATATAAAAAATTCTGAGAAAACTTTTTACCAGGGTTATAATAAAATAAAAAAAAATGCCATGCTAACTTCATTAAAATTATTTTAGGTGAAAAAACTATACAAGACATAACTATATACCAAACATTAAAAGACTGAAAATTTAGCCGAATTTGAATGGATTTAAACTTATAATTTGTATTGCTTAATATATCTGAACTTAACTTTAACTTAATCTTAGAACTAAAAGAGTTCGGAAGAAGCATAATTAATAAATCTGTCAATCGATAACCATGGATTTTGATAAGTACATTAAAGAAGAGCCAGAGGGGGTTTACAATCTACATTTTTTGAACAAGGACAAGCTTACTGTATACGAGATAAGGCAAATATTTTCAGTTTTTGGGAATGTTTTAGGTGTAAATGTTACTAAGGATGAAACTGGATTTAGATTTATTAAGTATGGAACCTTAGATGAAACAATAGCTTGTATAAAAGGTTTACAAGATAGCAGTAAGATACAGTTATTGCTAGAAAAAAGTAAAATGAAGGATAGAAAGATTTCGAATAGAAAAGATTTCAATGGTGAAAACTTGTCAAACAATGGAGGAAACAGCACTCATAAAATTTTCAAGGAGAATAATGGATCTAATAACGTTTTAAATACTTCTGTAAACTCTATATATAATCATAAATTTATTTCAAATATAACTAAAGAAAATTCATCAGTGTTTGATGAAAAATCTTCATTGTCTTCAAAACAAATTTCCAAGGAGAATATCTCTTCAGTTACAATGGATTATGAAAAGTACTATAGGACAACAAAAGGAGGTTTTAGCGTACATTTTGCAAATAAGAAAGGACTATCCTCAGAATACATAAAAGATACGTTTTCATCTTATGGAACTGTTGTATCCATATATGAAAAAGGCACTCCCAATGGATTGAAAGTCATAAGTTATAAAACATTAGATGAAGTGATAAATTGTTTAAAAGGTCTTCAAAATGATAGTCAGATATCATTGTTACCACAAAAAGATAAATTGGGCAGCGAAGCAAAAGCAACTAATCAAAACAGTTCGAATCAATGGCAGGCAGCAAAGATGGAAGATACTTCACAAAAGATGTTTAGCACTGATGAACAATTTGATTCAAACTCTACTCATCATGAGAATAATAAACAGGAAAAATTGTTGGAATATAGAGGCAAACCATTTTATAGTTCAAGAAATTTTGATTCGAATAAATTCCAAGGAAATAACTTTTTAGATATTGCTCGCAATTCGGGGCACGACTATAAATATAATGCAGATGAAATTAAACAGAAGAATACAGGTTCTCAAACATTTGATGAAATACATTTATCTTCAGAACATCAAAATCCTATTAATAATGAAGATTATAATCAAGTAATGAGAAAAAAGCAAGAAGATACTAAATTATATCCTGTAATGAAGACTGAGACAGATAACAAAATCGATAAAAATAGGCGATTTGGCATACATGATCAGCAAATGCCAATGTTAGTTTCTGATGCAGAAATGAAGCTGAAAGAATTTGATGTGATATCCACATTAAACAAGACTAGGAATTCATCTAAAATTGTGAACATCCCAATGCAAGATATAATTGTTGCTAATATTCATCAAAATTATGGCGTACATTACATTTTACATTTGTTTGAGAAATTTAGTCCAATTTCAGCGACGGTTGTAAAGACTATTTCCAAAACTAATATACGATATTGTCATATTTATTTTAAAACTGTACAAGATGCGGTAGCTGTTGAAGAAGAATTTGATAATTTTGATTTATCTGGAAAAAACCTTATTGTTTTACGAGAATCACGTTTGATAAATGATGCATATACGTAATTTTGTTTTTTTCTTGTATCGAATTATTGTAAGCTTCTCTTTTGCTAATGATATTGTTATCAATATTTTTATATAATTAAGTTATTTGTTGATTTAAGTTATTTGGTTTATATTAAAATATATACCAGAGGATTTACGGGTTATTGCCATGTTTTTGTCCATTACTAATGCCAACATTTCATGAAACCGTTCACTTCATCAGGATGAGGAGCGCACTGATACGTAACAAAAAAACAGCGATAACCCGCAAACCCTCTGATATCTTTAAAGATAACAATCATAAGAGTCTAAAAAGCATTGTATTAAAATAATTTTTTATATATACAATAAAACATATATCAATACAATCTCATAAAATTTGATAAAACATTTTGGTAATAAACTAAAGAGGAGTATGCAAATGATTTCAAAATAAATTTTTATAAGATGTGTGTAATTTTTAATAGTAAAAATTTGCATGTCTGTGTGTTTTGGCTTCTTTTTTTTCTTTTTATTTCTTCCTTTCATTTACTTAGAACGTAACATATTTATACATATTTAAATTTTATATATAGATATAGATATATAGACATATGTATATGCTGTATCCTTGATTTGTCTGTCATCGTCTCTCTCTCTCTCTCTCAATTATGTGATGTTGCGTTTCTTGCACAGAATTAGAATGTCAAGAATAAATTTGTATAACGAATCTGAGAGAAAAAAGAAAAATAAAAGAAATTCACAACAAAAGGATTTTTATATAAAAACCCAAAATATAAAATTTTTATATAAAATTTGGAAAGAAGTATTTTCTTAATTTGCACAACGTAAAATAAAAGAATTGATAACAGATCAAAACAGATTCTATTTCTATTTTATTTTTGACTAATGTTCATAGAAATATATAACAATGCGAGTCTCTTGAATCTATTTTATTTTCATGTTCAAGGCAGTGATGGGCTGTGTGGGAATAAAGTAACGCATGCGCACTAAGCAAACGCTATGGCTGCTCAGTAATGTATCTTGGTAAGATCTGAGGTATCGTTAGGCCTCTAGCAAGAAAGGAAATATGAAGGGAGTTACAAACAGAAGAAAGTTCCTTTAAACAAATAGAGTAAATAGTTAATACAAATAATAATAAAGAAATGTATTTGTTTGTTATTTTTTACGTCTGCAGCTACTTTACGTCTGCAGCTGATTTAATTATTACGACGCGAACAAACTTATCATAATTTTCTATCGCGCATTTGTTTATTTTTGCTTTTTGTTACACAAAGATTACCTACCTCTCGCAAAAAATGCACGAAAATTCGTAAAGACTTAGAGCCCTTTAAGGCTGAATTCGGGGAGACGCTATTAGCGCTATTTGTGTCATTCTATCTTCATCGTCCATTAAATGTGAAACAAGGATAGTATGACACAAGTAGCGTTGATAGCGCGCTCCTCGAACGCAGCCAGAGGCACGGCCGACACGGGCACCTAACGGCTACGGTTTCAGATACGTCTGTGAAAGTTGCCGATACGTTATTGTGACGTCACTTACGCATGCGCATGAACATTCCCATGTGAGAATAAGGGCCTGCGCACAATAGAGGAACAAGAATTAGATATTAAGATTTTAACCTATCAGAAATCGTGTATTCCGATGTAATCAGTTTCTGATAGGTTGAAATCTTAATATCTAATTCCTGTTCCTCTATTGTGCGCAGGCCCTAATTCCCACACAGCCTATCACTGGTTCAAGGTTGGCAATGTTGGGTAACATAACCTATATCATAGTTATTTACATATTAATTTCAGTATGGTTATGTACACGTGAATTTTGGGAAGAAGATGCAGTTAACAATGTCGAAAGGATTTAATAAAAAGGCAATACGTAAAATGCTTCAGAAAGAGGAACAATTTATTTCACATATATTATCTATAATGCCCGTGTCAATGCATGAATTAGGTGGATATAATTTTTCATTAAGTAATATAATTTCTAAAATGTAAATGATTTTATAAAACAATAATTAAATGGATATATTTCATGTTTTTATTTAGCTGAAAAAAATGATTCAACGAAGGAAGAAGAGCCTACAAAAAAAGGTATTATCTTTTTGTTTATTTGAAAGTATAAGATAATCTTGCAGCATTTACTCTATTCAATTCTAACCAATGATATTTTATCTACATTTCTATTTTAATATGTAATATATAAGACATAGTAATAAACATTGTAATCATTTTAATGATAGTATTTTTTGTCAAGAAAATTGCATTATTTCTGTTTATTAAAAAAAATTTTTATTCTCTGTGAATGTTATTACTGATTTTATTTTTTACTGTATTTTCCATCGTAGTGAAGAATTTTGCTATACCAGGCAAGAAGATTAAAAGAGCACAGTCCTTTAAAGAATTACATGCAAAATTGGAGGAATTAAAGGGTGTAAAGAAGTTGCATTACAAACAGAAACTTCTTAAGAAAACTTTGAAAAATAAACTGAAGAAGAAGACGAAGAAGGAAGAGCGTTTATTACAGAGAAAGCTTGCTAGGATAGAACAAAATACAGTTGATGGGAGTAAAATAAAGATGGAAAATGAGGAAGTACCAAAAGTGCCAAAACCTAAACCAGTTTTTAATTCGGAAGGTAAAATGGTGTTTAGCAAATTTGACTTTTCTGAGATTGGTGTAAAGAAGAAATTACCTAAGAGTCAGAATGACCCTAAAAAGATGTTACAACAACTACAACAGAAAAAGGAAAAATTAAAGCAATTAGAAGATTTAGGAGATAAGGAAGAAGCGGAAGACATTAGAGAGAAAGATGCATGGAAATCTGCATTGGCAAAAGCATCTGGCGAAAAGGTATGTACATATCTATTCCATATATATATATATATATAATA